AAAATATTGATTAAGTTGATTAATGTTTATTTGTGTTGTTTGCAAGCAAGCAACGTAAATCTACTTTAATGTTTGCACAAATTTTGCCTTTGCATTACTTCTTAGGTCTGCTTTAACAGAATGAAATAGCTACTATTTGTACGATTTATACAAGTGCAAGAAGATTCATCAGTTAACAGGTTAGTTGATCACCATAGTTATCTGCAATACGACTTTAGCGTCGTCAGATAGGCGACTAACCTTAGAATCTCATGCTAGTATCTATTCATATATACTGCTTGCAGAGATGAAATATGCATTGTACACAAAATTTATCATGTGAAACAAGTAGATTTGAGATTCTCCTTACTAAATTGCAACGAATTGCAATTAAGAAAAGGAATAAAACATCAAGATTCATGCATATAAATATACAATCCTCTCAAAACAATGCATATATGGTAGTATGCAAGTGTTTTGTTGATTATTTTACATCTCAACTCTCAGACAGATGTGACCTCGGAAAAGACCCGAAAGCCGCAATGTGCGTTGGAAGCTCAAGTGCTCGGCGTGTCCTGCAATTCGCACCGATATCGTAGCTAGCTACGTTCTTCATCGATTGGTAATTCGAGTGATCCACCGCTTGAAGATGTATCTTTGCCACCGTGGGACTTTTAATAAGTATCCTAAATCTGCATTGAGAGGGTTTGAAAACAATTGTATGCAGTTTATAAAAACCATAGTTGTCTTTACTTAGTTAGGCGAAGAAGTGTAAAACTTCCTTCTTTAAACCTTGCCGTCAGCATAAGCTGAAGACTTGAACAGGTACCAAGTATGTAGCAAGACAGGCTTTTCATTATAAACTACAATTGTTTTGCAAAAGAAATTATGGCTATCGTTAGATAACCCTCACTCTTTGTTGCATTGGATAATGAAAGATGGATGTATGAATGAACGAATGTAATGCAAGTTAGAATCATGTTGCAATGGCTAAATGTTTGCATTAAACATTCACAATTGCGACTCTATGCAAATACAATTCAATTGCATTCACCATATTAGCATCTACAATATCACTATGCAGAGTGTTTGATTGTTTGAAGGTTGTATTTCTCTTATAATAAGAGGGTAATACGTTAATGATCCTTCCGCAGGTTCACCTACGGAAACCTTGTTACGACTTTTACTTCCTCTAAATGATCAAGTTTGAACATCTTTCCAGCACAATCCGACCACTAGTTTCCCAATGGTCTGGATTGACCAGTCCGAAGTCCTCACTAAATCATTCAATCGGTAGTAGCGACGGGCGGTGTGTACAAAGGGCAGGGACGTAATCAACGCAAGCTAATGACTCACGCTTACTGGGAATTCCTCGTTCATGGGCAATAATTACAATGCCCAATCCCCATCACGAAATGGGTTCAAGCGGTTACCCACTCCTTTCGGAGCAGGAAACAGTATGCACGATGACCACTTCAGTGTAGCACGCGTGCGGCCCCGGACATCTAAGGGCATCACAGACCTGTTATTGCTCTGTTTCGTGCGGCTGCGAGCGCCGCTTGTCCCTCTAAGAAGTCCTTACAGTGCTACAGCATCCTTACCCTAGCCAATTCTGTAGGCTAATAGCAGCAGAGCCCTCAACAGCCGAAACCATCAAGAGATACTACCACCCACAGGTTGACTAAGGGGGAGTACTGCAGTGTAAACTGCAAGTCTATTTAGTAGGCTAGAGTCTCGTTCGTATCGGAATTAACCAGACAAATCACTCCACCAACTAAGAACGGCCATGCACCACCACCCACTGAATCAAGAAAGAGCTCTCAATCTGTCAATCCTCTCAGTGTCCGGGCCGGGTGAGTTTTCCCGTGTTGAGTCAAATTAAGCCGCAAGCTCCACTCCTGGTGGTGCCCTTCCGTCAATTCCTTTAAGTTTCAGCTTTGCAACCATACTTCCCCCGGAACCCAAAAACTTTGGTTTCCCGGAAGCTTCCATTCGAGTCATGAAATTAGTTACTCAGAATGATCGCTGGTTGGCATCGTTTATGGTTAGAACTAGGGCGGTATCTGATCGCCTTCGAACCTCTAACTTTCGTTCTTGATTAATGAAAACATTCTTGGCAAATGCTTTCGCTGTAGTTTGTCTTGCGACGGTCCAAGAATTTCACCTCTAGCGCCGCAATACAAATGCCCCCGTCTGTCCCTCTTAATCATTACCTTGGATTCTTAAGACCAACAAAATAGAACCAAGGTCCTATTCCATTATTCCATGCAAGATCATTCAAGTTAAGGTAGTGGTACGCATCATATAGATGGTTGACCATACCGTTTTTAGGCACCTCTTTCGAGGTTTTGGACGCCTGCTTTGAGCACTCTGATTTTTCAAGGTAAAAGTCTCGATCGCTTGAATCAACACTCGGTAAAGAGCATTGATAGCAAATATCGAGCAATTTTCTGTCTAAACACTATGAATGTAACCACCAGGAAAGAGGAATGAAGGTTCAAGCTAGCATCCGTAGACACAAGCAAGAAACCTAACATCACCATCTAACCCTTTAATCAGTGGACCCCATAGGTTCGACTGAAATCCAACTACGAGCTTTTTAACCGCAGCAACTTTAATATACGCTATTGGAGCTGGAATTACCGCGGCTGCTGGCACCAGACTTGCCCTCCAATAGATCCTCGTTAAAGGATTTAAATTGTACTCATTCCAATTACGGGGCCTCAATAGAGTCCCGTATTGTTATTTTCGTCACTACATCCCCGTACTGGGATTGTGTAATTTGCGCGCCTGCTGCCTTCCTTAGATGTGGTAGCCGTTTCTCAGGCTCCCTCTCCGGAATCGAACCCTAATTCCCCGTTACCCGTTACAACCATGGTAGGCGCATAACCTACCATCGACAGTTGATAAGGCAGTTGCTTGAGGGATACATCGTCGGCTCAGAGGCCATACGATTTGCTCAGTTATTCAGAGTCATCACAAGAAATGCAACCGAAGTTGCTAAGATCCCCACTGCTAGTCCTTAGACAGCGACCGAAATCACTGAACAGGGTTCTAGGTGAATAAGAATCATTGGTCTTGTACTAATAAATGCGATCCTTCCGTCAGCAAGCTGAGGTTGGAACACTTGTTCATGTATTAGCTCTAGAATTACCACAGTTATCCATGTAAAAAAGAATATCCGAGGAACCGTAACTGATTTAATGAGCCATTCGCGGTTTCACTTTATAAACAGTATGTACTTAGACATGCATGGCTTAATCTTTGAGACAAGCATATGACTACTGGCAGGATCAACCAGGTAACTTGATGTTTTAGCAAAGTAAAATGCTAAACAAGTTGTTTTGCAGCTATAAATACGATATCCTCAGCTAACAACCAGCAAGTGGATGCTAACTTTAACGAGGTATCGAGATTTATGTCGTGCATTAAGATAATTCTGCAGAAAACTCTTTAGAATACATCTTCTTCCACTAAAATGTGCAAGCACATCTAGCAGGAGTAACCATTGCTGGGTACGTTTGCAAGTCAACTAAACAGCATAGTATTATAACCGCTTGATACCAATTTCTTGGATCAATTTGCGGTCTGCTTTGCACAAGCAGAGCTCAATCTGTTGAGTGACTAGTTTGAACATATATGCAAGATATGAAGTCTGATAGCATTAAAGCCCAACATTAAAGCCCAACTCTCATAGATATTGTCAGTCGTACCAAGGAAGACCTTAGGTCTTGCAGGTACTCTACCTTTGTATAATAGTGTGTGGTGATAAGATGATTGACGATCCAAACCCATTCAGGCCCGTCTCTTCAACCACCAAACATCAACAGAATAACAGGAATAGATGCGTGAACAGCTACAGTCTGGACCATACCAAAGTCGTTGAAGAACTCTCATTGAGTTGTTAACTTGTTTAAGCATCTATTTCATCTCTAAATACAATCATCGTGAAAACTCAATTAAACCAACACATATAACACAATAAATCTGGTTGTGATCTAAAACCTCTTTTTCTGAAAATTAGACTAAGTCCGTGTCTATTTTTGACACCCAATAACTTTTGAACCATAAGGTCAATCGCGATCATGTTTTTCGGGGTAATATCCCAGTAGTGCCGACTATCGCATGCGCTTATTAATGACCTAAATTACTAAACGCAAGTGGCCTAAAATCGCGCCAATTCGAACATTCTCATTGCTTTTATGGGCTCAACCATTAAAGGCGATTCCTCTGGTACCAACAGCACGAACTCGATCAAAATTACGCAATCATTAGTTGACCTAATGCTGATAATGTCCAAAAGATTTGGTACCGTGAATCGACCTCGTTCTTCCGTTATAATGAGTCATCATCGAAAATCCAGGGGTATGCAAAAATTTAACATGTAAGTCAATGGAAAAAGTTAAAGTTCGGTTTTTTCCAGGGGTATGCAAAAATTTTTCAGTTTTAAATCACAACAAGAAGTTAAAGTTCGGTTTTTTCCAGGGGTATGCAAAAATTTTTCAGTTCATTTTACACCATTTAACATGTAAGTCAATGGAAAAAGTTAAAGTTCGGATTTTTCCAGGGGTATGTTCGCATTTTGAACCATATAAATCATGTAAAAAATTTAGGTTTTTTCCAGGGGTATGCAAAAATTTTTCAGTTTTAAATCAAAACAAGACTAACTAACTAAAACCTCGCTAAAATCACCAAAACTTTTTTCCAGGGGTATGCAAAAAATTTAACATGTAGTTCAATGGAAAAAGTTAAAGTTCGGTTTTTTCCAGGGGTATGCAAAAAATTTAACATGTAGTTCAATGGAAAAAGTTAAAGTTCGGTTTTTTCAAAAAATTTAACATGTAGTTCAATGGAAAAAGTTAAAGTTCGGTTTTTTCCAGGGGTATGCAAAAAATTTAACATGTAAGTCAATGGAAAAAGTTAAAGTTCGGTTTTTTCCAGGGGTATGCAAAAAATTTAACATGTAGTTCAATGGAAAAAGTTAAAGTCCAAATTTTTCCAGGGGTATGCAAAAATTTTTT